GAACCGGTACAGAAAGCATAATGGAAACACAACAAATACTGTACCGAGCCGAGTCGAACCGTGCTGTACTTGTACTAAAAGTTACTATGGAAGAGGGGCATGTGTGGTGATTAGCAAAATATGACTCAGCAGGTTGCAGCTAACTTGAGTCAGTTAACACCACACCATGCAAATCCAGCTAATACAGAGGAGAGGCTGCGGGGCAAAGAGTTTGACTATTACTGTATTTTCCGCCGTACATGTCGCTCCACCCTATAAGTCGCATCAGTCCATATTTGTCTAATAAAGTGGAAAAATCCATCAATATGTTGCTTTGCCGTATTTGTCGCATCTATTATGTATCACCGCTGACTTGTCGCGTTTGTTACGCGTCACCACTGACAACCCGGAAATGTGGGCCGAACCCGGAAATGTGGGCCGGTATTGTGCCAAAAATCTATGGGCTACCAAATGGCAGCCGCAAGAACATGCATGGGAGGACTTTAACAATAATTTAATAAGATAAATGCCTAAAAACAATTATTTGTTTGCTCAAAATTATAGCAAAGGTGTGTCTCAGTCTAACGTTTGCTTAATAAATGCACTTTAATGGTCAAATAAGCTGCGTTTCGCCGGGCAGTGCAGCTGGTTTAAAGGTCGGTCCAAGCAACGTGCAGAACGAAGGTGAGGAGACTGTGGCAAGCCGATTGTGTCATTAATAGCCGGTGAAGATTCTCAGTCATCCAGGACAATGGAAATTTAAAAAAAATTCAAGAATAAAGCAATTAAGTATAAAGTATAATAAATAAAGTCTAGTTGTTTTTGTTTTGAACTTTTTTGAATTTGTCATTATAGCCACGTTTACCTATTACATTATACAACGGCATGCCTTACTGCTACTACTACTCTGCCTCCATCAAGTAGCTGAAAGTGGTACAATTCAATTTTTTTTTCAGTCAGAATGAATCAAGTCAAATCTCAGCCAAAATTTGGTTTATAAATATGGGAAAACATTCATAAATATGTTGCTTCGGCCTATAAGTCACAGGGCATGTAAATTATGAAAACAATTGCGACTTATAGGGCGGAAAAATACTGTACAATTACAGCATTTTGGTCATTTTATGCAAAAACAATCTTTAAGCTCAAGCGAATTATTCTTTTTTTAAATATTTGATACATCTCTTTTGTCTCCCATTCAAAAGTAGAGAGAGCATCTTATCAAGCGGTAATTTCAGCTGCTGCTTCAAGATCTAGGATCATTGATCCATGGATTGCTTAAAAAATGACAGTGTCCAAATTGTTGAGACTTACAATGAATTAAAGTTTCCTCCTTCATACTACTGCAGCTGCAAAACTCTTCAATGAAACAAAGGCTTCAGTTAAAAAGGCGAGTGGGATACTTATTTTCCGTAATTTACACCAGTCCAGTGAATCATTATGTACCGAGATGCAAATTTTCTAGCAGTAAAGTTGAGCTTTCCCGTGACCATGTTTTCACTGTTGAATCCTTTCAAAATACAGTAGTCCCTCGTTTATCATGGGGGTTCCGTACCCTGAAGCCCTGCGATAAGTGAAAAACCGCAAAGTAGGGAGACTTTAGTTCAAGTTCAAGTTCAAGCACACTTTATTATTACCATCTCATGTGGTACATGAGCAGGAACAAAATTATGCACACAAGTAGTAGTAAGTAGTAATAGTAGTAGTAGTGGGTAATAGTTTATTTTAGTATTTACTATAGTAGTAGTAAGTAGTAGTTTATTTTAGTATTTTTATACAGAAATACTGTATATTGGCGTTTTTAACCCTTAAGTTTCTAAACTCTTAAACCTTTTAAAAAATGTTAATCTTAAATGCGTACTCACCAGAGAAGAAGAAAAAGAGATGGAGATGAAGAATTAGCTGTCCAGTATTCCCCCATCATTTTGTCTCTCATAGTTGAAGTGTGTAGGGTTTCTGGGTTTTTGTGCTGTCTGTTTCCTCATGTTTCCAAAAAAGTTAAGTCTGCAAAACAAAAAAAAAACAAAAAAAGTAGAAACGTTTTGTCTTTCATCCGATGAAGTAGGGGTTGAATAGACTAGTTTACTAGTCAATTACAGGACATGTCATTAACTTATTCACATCCACATGAGTTCTGTACAGTGATATTACTGTACAGTCCACAGTAACATCTGGTAGGTGAGTGTCTGGTAGGTGTTGTGTCGTAAAAGCACATTGACTGGATATTTACCATTAGGAAACAACTTGTTATGTCACTACCAGGTGCACTCCCCCTGGGCACTCCAGTCAGCAGCTCTCTGCTCCACACAGAGGGCTGTGGTAGCTCAGTGGTTTGTGTTTGCATCAGGAAGGGACCGGCATAAAAACAATTTCCCTGTCTTCATGCTAGTTAGCTCACTGTGGCTCTCCCTGAGGAAGGGAGCAGCCGAAAGATGAAAAAAGAAACAAAATCAAAACTAGACTTTAAACGTTTAAAAATCACTACCCATTCTTTTTAAGCTATTATATTTATGACTTTATCTGGGGAAAAAAAAATCTTTTGAATATTTTCTCTTGTTTTATACAATTTGAAGACTCTTTCACATACTAGCAGTGGTGGGCACAGTTAGCAAAAAAGTTAGCTTTGCTAACCAATATTCTGCATTTCAAATACTAAACCACTAAAAAGGTTAAAAAAAATTAGCAGAAGCTAAAGCTAAACCGCTAACTGCTAAGACAACATGTCACACAGTCTGTGTCACACGTCTCCGTCTCCTTCCAGTTGAAGCTTTGTTAACCAATCACATCTTGTCACATGTAGGCCTACATATCAGCGTGCCTTATGGACTCTTCAAGACATGCCCACAACAGACAGGAGCAAGCTTGTGAATTCTGGTAATCATTTAAAGTTGGCAAAGTCTAATTTAGTGAAAGCTAATTCCGCTAACAGTTTCCAAAATTAGCAAATACGCTAATCGGCTAAATCCATCCATCCATTCATTAGCTTCTTCCATTTGGGTCATGGGGGTCGCCAGTGCCCATGTCCAACAATTACTGTGCAAGAGGCGGGGTACACTCTGGACATTTGCCAAGGTAATATAGAGACATACAAAAACTTGGTTCTAACTTTGCAATATACAGCTGCTTTCAGTCATACCTGTTTCAAAAGCTTTCTAGCAGTTAAACATCCATCCATTATCTTTACCCACGTCTTTCTCTTTGGGGGTCACTGGTGCCCGTGTTCAGCTATCACTGTGCGAGAGACTGGGTACACCCCGGACAAGTCTCCAGTCCATCACAGGGACACATAGAGACAAATGAGACAAACAACCATTCAATCTCTCACTCACACCTAGATACAATTTAGAGTTACCAATCTGTCTAACGTGCATGTTTTTGGTCTGTGGGAGGAAACTGGAGTACCCGGAGAAAACCCACGTATGCACGGAGAGAACATGCAAACTCTACCCTGAAAGGCCCCCGGACCGGGATTTGAACCAGGGTAACCTGCTTGCTAAGAGGCAGCAGCTCTACCAGTTGCACCACCATGCTGCCCCTAATCAGCTAAATGAAAAATTAATTCCGCTGTTAGCCGATTAGTGGAACTGCCCACCACTGTGTATTACTGACTTTAACAAAACCAAAGCACCATCTTTTGACCACCATACTGTTTGTTGCCCACTGCCAAGCACATGGGAGCCTCACAGAGTGACAGCTTATTTGGGCCAATCGGTGTTGCAACAGTTTGCACTGCACCTCTCTGAGAATTGTTCTTTTGTCCTCTTCTTCTGGTTCAGCACTCAGGGGGTGAAATATAATCCTGCTAGGCATCCCCAGCCATTAGAGAAACAGATAGACAAAGGAGAAACTCCTTGAAAGACGAGCCCTCCAATCAAACTGTCACTTAAATGAAAGACGAGCCCTGTCACCACCAGGAGGAAAAGTGTCACTTAGGTTACCATTTCAGACAAAGGTGTATGGATATGTGTGTGCTGGGCACCAGCAGAATGAATCAGCCTTTAAGAGTGACAGGGTTCTGGCGGGCCAAATTTGGTGGCATTTGTTTGTTAAATTGCCTGAAATGCCAGGGACTCTTGTTTCATTGCAGTTTGCAGTGTCGCCAGAGATTAGCTGAATGTTATAAAAGAAGAAGACAAAAGGTAGTTATTTGAGCTTTTTTTTGGTCAGAAACACCCTTAATCTTGCTCCATTGCTTTATTGATAGAGGAACCATGATTTAGAGAAAAGTGAAGAAAAAAAATGAAGAAAGCACAGAAGAAGGAAAATAAAGACAAAAGGAGGAAATGTTACCAAAAGATTTGTAAGCATTCAGCACATTGTTTTTCTGTTCCAAAATGGCAGACAATTGTCAAGACTGGAGCATTATCGGTTCTTCTCCTGTAAAGGAAAAACATATGTGAATATCTACAAATTACACAAGCTGTAGATGGTCACATTCGTCCACTGCATTTGGGTTTTGTGCTTGCTTCACTACACAGATGTTTCTACATTTGTTGGTTGGCCAGTAAATCAGCCTAAAGTGGACTGAAATAGTTCAAACGTGCTCAAATGGATTGGCACAAAGTTTTGTTACTACATACTGATAGTATGTAGGCCTTAGGATATTTATCCAATTATTTTCTTCACTTTTTTGTTGTTCCAGCTATACCTAAAACATTAGCTTTGACAGTAAGTATATATCTTGACAGCCTTAGCATGGAAATTTGTGGATTGTATCCTAATGTTTTTGGCAATGTCTTGATTTTCTTGCTCCAGTGAAGTGTTGCAACAACTAAATGTTGGCTTTTGTAAGACATTAATGTCTCCACTCTGTATTCTAGTTTCACTATTCTATAGTTGTTCCTGACTTTTTAATTTGCACAAAAATGAGATGGGGATCTTTTGGTCACTCTTAGAGTCTTGCTGCCTTTTGCTATTGTCAAGGTACAATTGTTACTTATTATGAAAAAGAGCAGATTGTTCTGCATTTTGATGTGCATCACAACTAACAAAATCTACTCTCCACTGTTCTTCTCTTTCAGCTTGTAAGATTGGTTACTATCGGGCTTTGGCCACCGATGGCTCCTGTTCCAAGTGCCCACTCCACAGTTACTCCGTCAGGGAGGGATCAACATCTTGTGCCTGTGATAAGGGATATTTTCGGTCTGAGACAGACCCAGCATCCATGCCTTGCACTTGTAAGTACACCCGCATGCTACGTACTGTAGCAATTCATACTTTTTTTTCATTCAACCATTACTTATACAGGTTAGTCACATTGAGCCATGTGGACTCATTTACAAGAGAGACCTGTTTTTAACAAAGAACACAGATGGCTTACAGACAACAGAAGACATAGACAAACATATAAAAGCATATAAAATGAAAAATTTAATAGAAAAAATGAAATAAAAATGAAACAAAAACAGTTACATTATAAAGCAGTGTAAAATACTAAAAACAGGAACATGTCTGTTGGTTTTTGCCATGAATTTAGCAGTTGTTTAAATTCCCTTAGAGAGGTCAAGATCGAGAGCTTCAGATTTTTTTGCAAGATATTCCAGGAAACAGGAGCGGAGTAGGAGAAGGTCCTTTTGCCTAGTTCAGTTCTCACTGAGGGAGCACTGCATGTAATAATGTCCTGAGAGTGCACGCTGTAGCTGCACTCACGGGTGACATATAGAAGGAGATATATGAAGGCAACAGACCAAGAAGTGATTTAAAGTTTAAATAACCAATGAATACAGGGTGCATTGGTGGGTATGATAGTTACAGCCAGTTATGAATCTTAGTGCACAGTGATAGACAGCATCCAACAACTGCAGGGTGCTTGCAGGGGAATTCACATAAATATTGTCACTGTAGTCAGTGGAGGGGAAGAATGTAGCAGTTACAAGGTGTTTCCTAGCATGCAGAGTTAGACAGGATCTATTTCTGAAAAAGAAACCCAATTTAACTTTCAATTTCTTTACCAAGTTTTTGACATGGGGCTTAAAAGAGACATGTGATTCGACCAAAATACCCAAGTATTAATGAGAAGTGACAAGCTCAATAGGGACACCATTTGAAAATAAAATAAAAGGAAGGACTGCTGGTACCAACTTCCTGTTAGAAAACAAAATCCCTTTTGTTTTATCAGCATTTAGCACAAGTTTGAGACGGAACAAATCTGACTGGATGATGTCAAAGGCAGACTGTAAAACCTTAGCAACTGTTAACAAAAAAGGTTAAATCATGTCATCTGGACCAGTTTCTTTAAGTGAGAAATGTTTCATTCCCCATTTGGAGTACTTCATCAGTCTGTGGCCTGCCAACCAGATCAGTCCCATAAGTAGCCTTCACTGCTGTGTTTCAAGCCAACCTCCTGTTGGAATCTCAGAAGTAAGCTTTTAACACATGCAAAACACACCCATCCAAAACAATCAATCATCATGTACAACAATCAAATGTTTTAGGCCATATAGCAACTTGTTACTCATAGAAACAGCCTGAGGACAACCAAGGCTGAAGTGGTTCAGACAAAAGTTTGTAGGCTCAATCATCAAGGTAGATAACAACAAAAAAAGTTGTGGCAGGCTACAGACTGACAAAGTCCTCTGGATGGGGGACGAAACGTTTCTCACTTAAAGAAACTGGTCCAGATGACATGATTTAACCTCTTTTGTTGTTATATACCTGGATGATTGAGCCTACAAACCTTTTTCTTACCAACTGTTTTAGCTCGACAATAAACTACTGTGTCATCGGCATAGAAATGTAAGGATGCATCAGGAATGATCTGACCTATATTACTTATGTAGATTGTGAAGAGAGTGTGACCTAAGGCTGAACCTTGTGGTACACCATTGTTAAATTAAATAAGTGGAAGAAGTACCGTTACGTTGAACATATTGCCTCAGATCGGAGAAAATTAGAGAACCAGCCAATAGTGTGATCTGAGAAACCAGTTTCAGAGAGCTTACATAATACATACTAGTATTATGTAGTAGTATTAGTAATAGTTCCAGGAACTCGTCTTAAGCGCAGAGGTGACAGGGCCTTCTCTGTAGCAAGACCAAGACTTTAGAACGAGTTACAGTACCTCTGCTTGTCAGACAGGCCCCCTTTCTCTTGGTTTTCAAGTCCCGTTTAAAAACTCACTACTATTCAATAGCTTTCAACACAAGATGATCTGTGTCTTGATCCTGTATGCTCTACACTGGTTTGTCATCATTATCTGCATCGTTTTTTGTTTTTTTTTGTCTATATTCTGATTTACCTCATTTTGTATTTTGCTTTGTGTTACCTGTTGTTTTGTCTGTACAGCACTTTGGTTGGCCTTGTAGCTGTTTTAAGTGCTTTATAAATAAAGTGGTATGGTATGGTAAGGTAATAATACCATTTAAACAGGACAGCTTACAATGCATTGCTCACATTGCAGAAGCCTCACGCTGTTCTAGGAATGCATGCTAACACACATCTACAATTATTCTGCACAAACATGTAAGAGTCAGCTGTTAGTTTAATAGGTGTCTTTCGACTCCTTGTGGCACATAATAATCAGTCATGGTGACATGAGAGAACTAATGAGAGGATAAACTGTTACACCTCAGAGTCCATCTTCCATGTGCAAACAACAAATAGGCAGAGGTGATTAGGAAGAATAGTGGCTATATATTTAAGACATGTAGTGAAAATGGCGAGATAAAAAAAGCAAAAAAATCAATAACTTGTGACAGAAGTTAAGAATAGGATGCAAAAAGAGCAAAAAATTAAATAACTACATATATAATTTAATAGAGGAAGCGTGCTGTATTTCTCGTTTCTCTTTTCATTCAAATTCAATTCAATTCAATTCAGTTTATTTATATAGTGCCAAATCACAACAAAGTTGTCTCAGGGCACTTTACAGGAACATTCAAATACATAAAAGCCAATGAGTAAAGTTCTCTATCTAAGGAATCCAGCAAAGTTGAATCTTTGGTTGTGTGAGTCACATTTTGGTAAAACTGCTGGTCTTCCAATTATACCTCTTAAGTCACAAGTCTACTGTACATGTTAAAACAATTACACTTTTCCAGTCTGTAGGCTTTTCCCTGTCTGAGTCATGAAACGGGAAATATCAGTGAGCAAAGTGAAAATCATTAAAATCCTTCATTTCCAAAAAAAACCCAAACATATTTCACGCCTTGTTATGTTCAACATTTGAATATAAAATTAACTAAAACATCTGTTAAGTTCCTGAACTCATCACTGGCTTGTTATTCTGTTGAGTTCCTGTGGATTTATCACTCGGCAGAATAATTGGACTCAATTGGACTCCCCTTCAATCCATCTCTGTGTACTTCACTGATACTTTCTTTTATTTCGGCAAAATCATAAACATTCCACTGTGGTGAAATATGTTCATCATCTGGAACAGATGGACCTGCAAATTCAACACTACAGCTTTTATGTTGTTAAATTATTTCCACACAAATGGAAAAGGAAGACCAAAATATATTTTAAACTCTATTGGGCTTGATAGAACATTGAAACTGGGTCGGTTGGGTCAATGCTATTTTAATGATCACATGAAATAATGTCTACTTTTATGTACAATTTAAGTATTTATGTTTAAAATAACAAATGTATTTATTGTTCAGCTTTTCAAACTGCTAGAATTAAAAACTAAGGCTACGTTCAAACTGCAAGCAAGTGCGCCCCAAATGTTTCCCCCTATGTGACCCATCCATCCATCCATCCATCCATCCATCCATCCATCCATCCATCCATCCATCCATCCATCCATCCATCCATCCATCCATCCATCCATCCATCCATCCATCCATCCATCCATCCATCCATCCATCCATCCATCCATCCATCCAATATCTTTTACCCGCTTCTTTCTTTTTGGGTTGCGGGGGTCACTGGTGCCCATATCCAGCAATCACTGTGCGAGAGACAAGGGACACCCTGGACAGGTCTCAGTCCATCACAGGGACACATAGAGACAAACAAGATAAACAAGCATTCACTCTCTCTCTCACACATAGGGACAATTTAGTTACCAATCAGCCTAACATGCATGTTTTTAGTATGTGGGAGGAAACTGGAGTACCCGGAGAAAACCCACACATGCACAGAGAGAACATGCAAACTCCACCCAGAAAGGTCCCGGGCTGGGATTTGAACCTGCGACCTGCTCACTGAGAGGAAACAGCTCTACCAACTGAGCCACCATATGCTCCCTATGTGACCCATATCTGATTTTTTTTATGACAGTCTGAACATGACGAATCAGATTTTTCAAATCCAACCCAGGTCTTTTTCATACATGATACTGAATCAGATCCTTATCTAATGTTTTTCAAAGTGACTACAAGATTCAACTTGTCTGCTGGATTCCTTAGATAGAGAACTTTACTAATTGGCTTTCATGTGAATGTTTCTGTAAAGTGCCCTGAGACAACTTTGTTGTGATTTGGCGCTATATAAACAAACTGAATTGAATTGAATTGAACTAGTCTGAACAGTCATGTCTTATTTCATCCAGCTTATATCAGTGAGTGTTGGACCATATCAATACTGGTGTGATGGTATCGATGCTTGAGTTTGTTTCTACCTTCAGTGTGTCACTCCTATTCCACAATTAACAATGCCGCACTGTAGGAGCTGTCAAGTGGTAGATAATAATTTAATTGGTTCTGATTGCGCAACAACTTTAGAATCATGCTAACGTGTGTAGCATCCATGTTTACTTCCTTAAACACATCGTGCTGCGTGTGCTGCCACATTTTCTTCTGCACTTGTGGGCTGCCACTGGAGTCTGATGGATGTCACATTTTAATGACAATGTGAACGACCACGTAAAAAAGATTGGATCTGAGCAAAAAACTGGAGTTGAGCATTAAGACCTGCAATGTGAATGTAGCCCATCTGTATTTAAAAGAGATGCTGTTGGATCTGTTAATTCATACCTGCTGACAAACATCATCTCTTAACCAAGTTTTAAGGCACGAACATCCTAATTTTACATTGGATCACATTATATTAATTTATATCTGGATTTCTGTTTACACATTTTCAAAAAGCTGTACGTTTCTGCAAGAGGCAACTTTACAGCGTGCTGTTTTTAACACTGAAAACTCCCGGACATTCAACTTCCTGTAACAACAATAAAGAAGGAAAAAGTATGAAACAATTCAGCTGCTGTTAAGGAACCCCTGATGAAAAA